GTAAAACTGGAGTAACGGGGTCGGTGGTCGTACCATTAGCCGGGAGCGGCGGCGGCGGCGTGAGAGACGTCGTCGTTGGCCCCCGTTTGATCTGGAATTCACCGTGGCCATCGGGCCCTTGAGGTTGGATGACTGCGTCGGCGCCCTCGGGCACCGGATCCGCCTCGGGTCGGGCTGGTGGAGGCGCTCGCGCTCGCTGCAGTGTTGTGATGGCGTCGCCCAGATCCGCCACACGGCGCTCGAGATCGGGGCGCCAGGAGAGTAGATCGTCAATCTTCGTTGCCGTTGATTGCTGAGCCTTGGTGAGGCCGTCGATGGCAGCCTCGACCTTGGTCTCGAAGCGGGTGAGGAAGGCCGACACGCTCAGATCCATGGCCTCGCGTGCTTTTCGCAGGCCTCTTTTCTCGATGAGATGCGCCAGATCGGATCGAAGAGGAGAGGTGGTTGTGGTCTCTGATACCATATGTAAGAGTAGCAATGGGGTGGTGCGGATCGATCTATTCACTCTCTGAAGTAGTAGCGATACAATCGATTACAAGAATTGGGGAATTGCAGTAGCTAGGTGAGATACACGATGAACTAGGGTTGCCGCCGCCTGGTAGTCGCCTGATCCTCTAGATGCCCGTCTCCTCCTGGCCGCCCGTTACTTGTAGCGAACGAGTGGGCCTTAACGCGTCCACTCCGGCCTGCTGGTGCGTGGGCTGGGGCGCTTGATCCGAGTGGGTCGCTGGGCAGCGCTGTCGCTGGCTGGGTCGCCGCCCTGTGGGTTCATCTTGACAGGTGTGTTGACATACTCCACCACCAGGGTGGATCCAACTCCTTAGGGACGCGGAGGCCTCCGTGCACCATGGAGCTCATCTCTCGATTGGTGCGGACGCTGCTTCACGGAGCGGAGCGCGACGCAGAACCCTCGCTAACTTGTAACCGCTATGCGGCTATCATGCATTGGAAGTTGCGCCCATCCCAAAAGTCATACCGCCGTTGGTGTTATTGCACGGCCGTGTGTAGGGGCCGCCTAATTCCTGGATCCGGTCGACGTTATCCTGGGCGAGGATTTGCATCAAATGAGGCTTTGTTCGGTTAATCCTCTCCCCAAGAGGATTGAAGGGGATTGGCAAGGATTGGTTCATATTTTGACTTAGAAGAAGTTTAAATCCTCTTCAAACCCCTTCAATCCACTCGGATCTACACGCAACCAAACAGGTCTGAGGGTTTGTTTGTCGTGTAGCCCAGATCCACCCTCTCATCCGACGTCAATCCTGTCGAAACTCCCTGACGGCTCACGCCATTGCAACCGAACCGACACTGGGCACAGGCTCCACCGAGACACCCCCATGCTAAGATGCCAGCCCAACGGCAAGCGTGTATCCAGCACCATGATGTCGCGGCCGAGAAGCTAGACTTCTTCGACTATGAGGCGGCACGGCATTCCTAGTAATGCCACTATGCGACATTACCACTAGTGAACTGATCATAACTTTTTAAGTTCCGTTGCTAGTAAGGACAAGCAACGTGTTATATTGATATGTGATGTTGTGGGATCTAAACATTCAGAATTTTTATTTATTTTGGTAGCACTTTTAAATATAATGTTGAGAAAAATGGTTTCCCCCCGCTTTATAGATAAAGCATCACCGAACAACCGAATCCTGCCGATACAAACACACACACCACACACACCCAAGGCTGGAACAAGGACGCTGATAACAGCAACACTACCCCGACAAAATCCTAGCCAACATCAGATGAACACAATCAGTACTACTACGATGATGTCGGGGCCCTCAACCGTGGGCGGGCCACCGCGAAGAGGAGAAGCCGAGTAGGACGAACAATGAGCTCCAAAGCGGCGCCTTCAGCAAGGAAACGACACCATCGTGTCGCCACCGCCCAATCCAAGGATTAGAGTTTCCCCCGGAGCACTCCGACGACAAATGAGATGCCGCGACGGCGCCTTCAAGAAGGGGACGACGCTGCAACGCCGCCGCCGTCGGCCTAGCAGAGCAGAACGGGTTTTCACCCCGGCCAACACTCATCGTCACCGGATTGGATGAACGACCCACCCCGGTCAACACGCCGCCCACACGACCATGCTGACCGGACAACGCCCGAGCCGCGTGCTCCGCCCAAGAGCACCCCGGCTACCACCAACCGGGCCGCCGCCACGGCATCCGAGCCCCACCCTCAACCAGGACACACCGAACGGACGCGGCTGACCAGAACGAAGCGGAAGCTCGCCTTCCACCCCAAAGTCGACACCTTGGCATGATCGGTGACCTCGGCGGCCGGATCAGGGCCAGGGGAACTCCGGCGGCCACCCGCGGCAGCCGCCAGATGCAACGGAGGGGGCACCCTGCCCCTTCCCGGAGTCCCCTGCCACCACCAGTAGGCCTCGCGCGCACCACCACACCATGGCGCCACCCCGGCCTGACGAGCCCGTCGCTGAGTCCAAAGAAGAGGGAGGGAGCTCACCCGAGTCCGACGCAGACGAACAGCCGCCGGAGAGAGCCGCCGTAGCCGCGAGCAGATCGGACAACCACCAGGCCGCAGCAGCGCCGCTGCAGCCCACCCCACTCCGAGGTCAAGACCGACCTCGGCCACCGCCCCGCGCCGCCCGCCGCCATCCAGGAGCCGGATCCGGGAGGATCGGGCCGGATCCGCGCGAGCACGCCACCACCCAGATCGGGAAACCCCGCGGCCGCCACGCCGCAAACGAGCTCGCCGCTCGACGTCGCGTCCCCAACAGGCAACCCCACCGCTGAAATCCGAGCCCGCCACCGCGCCGCCGGCCCCGCCAAAGCCCGGCGCCCCCACTCGACCGGCCGTCTTGCGCCAGCCGCGGAGCACGAGGGGGAGGAAGAAGAGGCCCCGCCGCCGCCCCCACCGGCCGGGCTTCGCCCGCCGGCGTCGCTGGGCGGCGGCGAGGGAGGAGAGCAGAGGAGGGGGAGGTGGGTTACGGCGGCTAGGGTTCCCCCCGGTCGCTCGCGAGAGCGACACGGGAGGGGACGGGAGGGATCTATTGTTTGCTGTTTCGCCTTAAATATAATGTTGGAACATGGGTCCTGCATGTCAATGGGGACCTACCCATAAAATTCAACAAACTCATCAAAGAAAAGTCAAGTATAATTCACATCAACAACGAAGTAATGCTATATCTACGAACCATCCACAGTGTAGCAATTTTGTGCCTCTAAGGCTGGTCACAATGGGCAAGAACATAGTCTAGTAACTTACACACTTCCCTAGACTATGTTACTACCTCCACAGTGGGTAGGAACATCTATGTAGTGTCATGCAACAATGTATTTATTAGGTTATAGACTCATTGTTTCTTGGAGTGTGTGATGTTCCGGTAACTTAGCTAGTTACCACAAGCACCTCTCTCTTCATTAAATATGTGACACATAAGCAAAGTTGTATTGGAGCGTGTGATGTTACTCCTAAGTTCCTCTCCATTGTGACCAGCCTAAGGTTGCCTCTAGCTCATGGAGGCTGCCTCTATACACTGTGAGTTGTAGTTTTGTTGCCACCAAGCTTAGCGTCACCTCTGACCTTAGAGGCAGCCTCTAACAAATAAACTGTTCTAAAGGTCCTACGTGTCAGCAAGAATAAGAGCAAATGGCTAGAGGAGAGAGGCGTATACATGAGTGGTCGGAGATTATTTTATTTTTGGTGCGCCTGAGATTAGAGGCTGCCTGTAGCTTTATATATTGTGTGCATTTCAACTAAAAGTAGAGGCAAGCACGTGGGATCTACCTTAGAGGCAGGTCTGCCTCTATACACTGGTGGTGCTCTAGGGCTTATTTGGTTCAAGGATTTTCATAATAATTTTGAAGGATTAGAATTCTTAGAAACTTTTCCTTTTTTAGTTGTTTGGTTCAAAGGATTGAATCTCATAAAAAATTTTCTTAAGGATTTTTTGGTACTACTTTCATAGAATGCAATCAAACAACCCAAAAGCCTGCAGGATTGAGATGAGCATTCCAATCCTATATTTTTCTTAGGACCCTGATAAGTGTCACTCGTGTGGCACGAACACATGACAACTCCAAATTTTTATGGCAAGTTAAGTAATGTGTGGACGGCAACTTTAGTTGTCAAGCATGGCAACTTACTTTTGGATGGCAAATTTCATTTTTTTCGAGTTTTTTTATGGCAATTTTAGTTGTAAAAAACGTTAGGGCCGGTGTGCTTCGTGCCAAACGTGTGACATTATCATTTGGGTTTTTCTTATTCTCTCATTTTTTGAATCGTGAAGAGTCCTTACTCACTTTCCAGCAAAAGAAAGGAGTCCCTTAGTCACGGAGAAGATTTACGGGCTGATGTGGTGTCATCTGGTCGGGTTAGTGACTTAGTGAGGGACCCATAGAGAAATTCAAGGGGAGACGTTAGTGGGATTGGTGGAGGATTAGCCCATAACCCTGTCTGTAACCATTTTGTCGCTAGGTTTAGATTATTGCTGCAGAAATTTTCAGCCAGGGCCCTCTTCAATTCTTTGACGGAGTAGGCTACAGTTTTCGAACAGTCTACGTCAACCTAGCCGAGAGCCAACTCATCTATGAAGAAAGGGTGCAATTGTACAGTAAGATGTAAAATGTAAAGATAAAATATGCTAACGGGGATTGATTGTGCTTGTGCATGATAATGAAGGAATTTAGTTCAGGTGGACGTTCACCCGTTGCCTTTTCAAGCAGACTTGAGGCCATGGCATCCTAGAAAAGATGAGCAGTTCATATATTTATTCTTCCCCATATTCGCAAAAGAAAAGAAAAAAAGCACTCCAACAACTCTTCTGTTATGCACAAATGACACTGCACGACTGTTCTGCTCTCATAAAGTGGGTGAGCAACATTCATCTTATTGTATAGGCAATATACATAGTACAAATGGGAAGATTGCCTTTTTTTTAACTCTTGTGAACAGACAGTTCAGCGTGCCATTCGAAGGCAGATATTTATTTCTGAACATCACAAGAACTGGCAGCAAGGATGACCGGCCGGTCACCTGTGCTTCCATCGGTACCTAGAAGACGGGGAGTGGATAGCGCCGGTGCCAGTGCGGGTGCGACGGCCCTGCTGCTTCTGCTTCTCGTGGCCGCCTGTCGCCGGCGCCTTACCATGGCCATGGCGGCGACCGTTGGTATTCTTGCCCCCGTCGCCCTCCGGCATCATCTCTCCAAAGTAGGCAGCGGCATCCACCAGCAGCTCAAATGAATCGGATCCAAAATGCCAATTCCATGAATCGAGGATAGAAAACCGCGGTGAGTTGAGGATACGAGTCGGACGAAGAAACCACCAATGTTCCCTCCGTCGCGTGGCCCGCACAAACATCTCCTTCCAGCTCGTGCTCGTCTCCGGCAGTTCGTCGTGGGAATCGCCGTCGCCGCCGAGCGACCAGCACCACCACCGCAGCCTGTTCCACCGTAGCGCCTTGTACGTGGGCATCCAGAGCTGGCGGTCCCGGTCGGGCTCGGCCACCAAGCGCCTCAGCTCGGTGCAGGTGCTCTCCACCCTCAGGAGATCCTTCCCGTCGGCAAGCCTCTCCAGGATCGCGGCCATCATGTCGCTCGGGAGGGACATGAAGGTGGGGACTCGTCCCGGCACCACGCCGTGCTCACGGCATAGATCCGAGAAGATGCGCCGGCTGAATCCGTCGCTGACCTTCCTCCAGAGCGCGGCCGTCGGGGAGCCGTCGTTCCCCAGCAGCCTGCGCGCCGTGCCATCCAGATCACCCGACAGGAGCGGCGCGACGGAGAGCGCGTCCAGGCGCACCCTGTACATGCCGGTCCGGACAGAGCAGGCCTGCAGGTAGAAGATGACGTGCCGCCCGTTGGTGCACACGCTCAGCGCGGCGCCGTCCATGTCGTGCCGGGGCAGCAGCTGTGGCGCGGTGTACTCCAGGCCCAGGGACAGGGTCGAGGCCGTCTCGCCCAGCTCTGTCGGAAGCCAGCAGGTAGACGACAGATCCCGATCCCGACGGTGGGGGCGGGAGACGATGAAGCCCGCGTCGAGGATGGCGGCGTGGACGACGATCACTAGACGGCCCAGGATGCGCTCGGCGTCCCACCGGCGGGCGTCCACTACCCCGTGGAGGGGAGAGACCTTCGACGACATGGCTCGCTACGAGCGCGAGGTGAGGTCCGGTGATCCCTTGGTTAATTGTCTAAAGAGGAGTGTGGTGAGTTTTCAATGGCGGAGCTAGCTGGTTTTAACCTTTTTGACGAAGCCCATTGCGATGACTTTTTGTCTTGAAAAAGAATTGCAATGACAACAAGACACCACAAGTCCCCATCCCACGTCTTGAAAATTTCACCACAGGTTTCTTCCTCTTTACGGCAACTCCTCTTTCCTAGGTTTTTTTTAAAGAAAGTTCGACCTTTATTCATTAGAAATAATCATTACATCGTTTATGAGGATTGATACAATTGCATTATGTGGTTCCTCGAATCAATCAGAAATGAAGGAAAATCTAGCTAACTTGGCAAGTTCATGAGCAACTTTATTTGCTTCTCTATTACAATGCTCGAATCTAAAAATAGGAAAATCGCAAGCTAAGTGAAAACAGTCATCAAAAATTGCAACTGCTGCCCCGACGATCGTCCTCCTTCGTTCATGGTCTCGATAACCTCCATATTATCCGAGTTAATAATTATGCGATTACAACCCGTCCTTTGCGCAAGCGATAGACCAAATTTTAACGCCAAAGCTTCAGCCATCAACACATCTGCACACCAGTCAATCTTACCATTTCCCCCACCGATGAACCTACCTTTGTCATCTCTTACGACCGCCCCGATCGTACCCCTGAGAAGGTCGTGGTCAAAAGAAGCATCAACGTTAAGTTTAACGAATCCTGTCGGGGGGCTAGACCATCCTCCTCTTTTCATGGAAGCCTTCGGCAAGGAGGCATTAACAAAATTGGCAGTTAGAGTACGTATCCCCATGGATATCTGTTGTGCATTATGAGTAGTCTCATTGTGTACCAATTTGCGCCTTTCCCACCACAAGTACCAGGTTGATATGGCAATCATGTCACGCACATTACGAATGCCCATAATGTTGGGGAACGTAGCAGAAATTCAAAATTTCCTACGCATCACCAAGATCAATCTATGGAGTAATCTAGCAACGAGGGGAAGGAGAGTGCATCTACATACCCTTGTAGATCGCTAAGCGGAAGCGTTCAAGTGAACGGGGTTGATGGAGTCGTACTCGTCGTGATCCAAATCACCGATGATCCTAGTGCCGAACGGACGGCACCTCCGTGTTCAACACACTTACAGCCCGGTGATGTCTCCTACGCCTTGATCCAGCAAGGGGAGAAGGAGAGGTTGGGGAAGACTCCATCCAGCAGCCGCAACAACGGCGTGGTGGTGGTGGAGAAGCGCGGGAATCCTGCAGGGCTTCGCCAAGCACCGCGGGAGAGGAGGAGGGAGAGAGGTAGGGTTGCGCCAACAGGGAGAGCAAATCACATGTGTTGGGCAGCCCCAAACCTCAAGTATATATAGGGGGGGGGGAGGGGCTGCGCCCCCACCTAGAGTTCCCTCCCTAGGGGTGGCGACAGCCCCCAGATCCCATCTGGGTGGCGGCCACAAGGGGGAGAGGGGGAGGCGCACCTGGGGTGGGCCTTAGGGCCCATCTGCTCTAGGGTTTGCCCCCTTCCCCTCTTGGAGGCGCCTTGGGCCTTGGTGGGAGGTGCCCCAGCCCACCTAGGGGCTGGTCCCTTCCCACTATTGGCCCATGTAGACCTCCGGGGCTGGTGGCCCCACCTAGTGGACCCCCGGACCCCTCCGGTGGTCCCGGTACACTACCGGTGATGCCCGGAACACTTTCGGTGGCCAAAATCGTACTTCTTATATATCAATCTTTACCTCCGGACCATTCTGGAACTCCTCGTGACGTCCGGGATCTCATTCGGGACTCCGAATAACATTCGGTAACCGCGTACATACTTTCCCTATAACCCTAACGTCATCGAACCTTAAGTGTGCAGACCCTACGGGTTCGGGAACCATGCAGACATGACTGAGACACCTCTCCGGCCAATAACCAACAGCGGGATCTGGATACCCATGTTGGCTCCGACATGTTCCAAGATGATCTCATCGGATGAACCATGATGTCGAGGATTCAATCAATCCCGTATTCAATTCCCTTTGTCTAGCGGTATGATACTTTCCCGAGATTCGATCATCGGTATCCCGATACCTTGTTCAATCTCGTTACCGGCAAGTCTCTTTACTCGTTCCGTAACACATCATCCCGTGATCAACTCCTTGGTCACATTATGCACATTATGATGATGTCCTACCGAGTGGGCCTAGAGATACCTCTCCGTTACACGGAGTGACAAATCCCAGTCTCGATTCGTGCCAACCCAACAGATACTTTCGGAGATACCTGTAGTGTACCTTTATAGCCACCCAGTTACGTTGTGACGTTTGGTACACCCAAAGCACTCCTACGGTATCCGGGAGTTGCACAATCTCATGGTCTAAGGAAATGATACTTGACATTAGAAAAGCTTTAGCATACGAACTACACGATCTTTGTGCTAGGCTTAGGATTGGGTCTTGTCCATCACATCATTCTCCTAATGATGTGATCCCGTTATCAACGACATCCAATGCCCATGGTCAGGAAACCGTAACCATCTATTGATCAACGAGCTAGTCAACTAGAGGCTTACTAGGGACATGGTGTTGTCTATGTATCCACATATGTATCTGAGTTTCCTATCAATACAATTCTAGCATGGATAATAAACGATTATCATGAACAAGGAAATATAATAATAACCAATTTATTATTTCCTCAAGGGCATATTTCCAACAGTCTCCCACTTGCACTAGAGTCAATAATCTAGTTCACATCGCCATGTGATTAACACTCACAGGTTCTGGGTTTGATCATGTTATACTTGTGAGAGAGGTTGTAGTCAACAGGTCTTGCCATATTCAGATCCCTATGTATTTCGCAAAACTTTATATCGTAGATGTTGCTACCACGTTCCACTTGGAGCTATTCCAAATTGTTGCTCCATTATACGTATTCGGTATCTCTACTCAGAGCTATCCGGATAGGTGTCAAGCTTGCATCGACGTAACTCTTTATGTCGAACTCTTTATCACCTCCATAACCGAGAAACATTTCCTTATTCCTCTAAGGACAATTTTGACCGCTATCTGGTGATCTACTCCTAGATCACCTTTGTACCCTCTTGCCAGACATGTGGCAAGGCACACATGACACCTTTGTACCCTACTTGGAGCTCCTATGTCATGACGCCTTTGTACCCTAAATATCTTCACACGCACGCGCAGGTATTTCTCAACAATTACATGGTTACGGTGCGAAACCTCCAGCACCTCTCCCAGTTGATCCTCGAGAGACCACCCTACACTCACCGTCTTAAACTCGAACAGGAGGTCGCGTACCTGGACCCATATGGTCATGACGCCAAGGTCGACCTCCGCCGGGTCGCCCTTGCCGTCGAACTCGGCGAAGATGAGGCCGTCCCGCTTGAAGTGCCATGGCCGCGTCTTAAGGACAAACCGACGGTCACTCTCAGCGGCGAAATTGAGGATGAACCTCCCGTCTTCGCTGGCCACCTCCTGGATGGTGACCACACCCTGGTTCTTCCAAGCAGACTTTGACTAAGATTTAGTCAAGTCTCAGACTTCAGGTCTTTGCAGGCATCAGTATGCATAAACAATTCTTTTAGGATGTTCTATAACCCTTTTTAGAGTTTGGAAAAACCAAGCCCAACTCTTATGCATGGGACTTTGTCTCTAGTACACCATATGACACGGAAAAAATCCAGTTATGTGCATCAATTGCACATGCAGCTACCAACTGCCATCTAAACCTATCATTAAGTGTCATAGCATCCACTGTAAGGTAAGGCCTACGTCCAAATAAAAATCCACACCAACAAGCTTAAAAACTAACAAAGACCCTTCTGAAACACTCCTTTTCATAACTCTTTCCCTTGAACTGGAAAGGAATAGAGTGCCTGTCAATTTCTACAACACTTTTATGCGGCACTCTCTACTTTAGCTTTGAACGAGTACAGAAGCTGGAAACTATGCTCATACTTTCCATAAATGTTGTGAATAGCATTTTTTTACCATAATAAAGTCTCATGTAAGGCAATTATGAACCATATTTTTTCTTCAAATTGGTTTGCAATTCAGTAGGACCTATGTTAGAGTTTTCTCTTACCCAGTTCTACACAAAATCAGCTATCCATCTCCTCTTGGCCACGCTCAATCTTTGAGTTCTGTTCACATTGGGACAATTGTGCTCATAAGGATTTACTTTGATCTGCAAATAAAATATAGTTAGCAATTGAATATGAAACTAAATTAATTTTACAATGTTAGAACATCACATGCAAAATAGTCAGCAATGTATATGCAATTTGTTAGTACCTGAAATAAAGTTTTGACCTCCACCTACATCTTGGAAAAGCACAATACGCAGTGAACCTTATTGGATCACTGTGATCAATTTTGTACGCTGCTTCATGTTTTATGGAGAATGTAGCTACAACATTTCAACGGTCCACGGCAGAAGGAAAGATCACCCCTTCAGTGATACTTGGATTATCTCTTTCATACATCATATCATGCCTATCCTCATCATCATTCTTAAAAGATCCCATGTCAATGTTCGCGTCTTCCTCTTCTTCATCTGTATTTGAAAAACTTTGATGGATGTAGTCCTAATCCTGCTGCTCTGGATTCCTCTCATGGCCTAGATCAGGGAACATTCTCTCATCCTCTTCATCTGAATCTAGAAGATCATTGGGCTCTCCCTCCTCAATTATAGGATCTGTGGGAATCTGAGTGGGAGACTTAACATTCCGACTCTCACCATAACCAGGTCGAGATGGCACATTTGCACTAGGAGTTCCTGGAGGATGATAGCAACTACTTGGAGCTCCTATGTCGCTCCTTGAACTAGTACCAGCAGATTTTGGTTTGTTTTCCTGGGGCAGGGGGCTTTGTTGTTCTAGCAGATGCTTCTAGTCTGGATCTCTGTATGACAGTGGCTTCAATTTTGTAGTTTATAACAGCGCAGTTGTTCCAAACATCAGAACTAGCTCATCA